GCATCCGGCGAAAGCGTCGCGTCCTGAGGCCTTCAGCGGTTTGTTGGATGTGACACTGATCAGCGATGTACGGGAGCGTGATCGGGATATTTCCGATGACGAGTATTCCCCTACTAGTGCATGTTTCCAGACTCATGGGAGGGCGCAATGCCGACCGCCGTAACTGGAAAGCCCGGAGGCTTTGAGCAGTTCAGAAACGAGCTCATGAGGATCCAGAGAATCCTGGATTCTCCGGCGTTGGTCGACCTTGGTAAGGTCGATCTGAGCCGCCCAGGGAGTACGTCTCGGATGAGGATCACGAGGGTCACGTAGATGATGATGGGATGGGCCCATATGTGGACAAGTTCTCATCAATGAGCGACCGCGACCTAGTGCCCTCAAAGCAGGAGCCGCCCTACTATGAGGCAAAGGCGTGGCGCACCACGGAAGAGGAAATTGAGAGGATGAAGAACCTTTTTCCATATGTTCGTGCCGAAAATTATCGGCTTATGTCAGCGGGGACTGGTCCCATAGGTGCCAACGCGCACGTACAGGGCGTCCTCCCTGCTGGTGCGTCGCTAGAGGAGGCGCTGATGGCAAAGCCCGATGTGTGCCCGATAGCGAGCACCTACAACCTGAAGAGGTTGTGTTTGATGCACAGAGCGGGACAGCAGGCAGAATCGCCTGTCCTGCCGGTAACGACATCTTCCATTTTTTCCCCGAGATTAAGGATACGTCGGCGATGCTTGGGCGAAGCTCCAGGGAGTCGCAAATGCTGCTAGAAATTTTGTCGGGCAACACTGACCCAACGCGGTTGAACGTGAAGCCCGGTGAGCCGGCTCCCTTCTTGTGTGGGACGGTTCCAGACATTCTGGGAGGTTGGATGTCAATGACTCTAATCTCAACGCTCTTTGAGGCCCTATACGGGATCCATAAGTGCACGAGTGTCGAGGTGGCGACCTGGGCGGGTTCTCTAGCGAAGGAGAACCCAGCGTACCCTCCAGTCGAGCTCCTAATACGGACAGTCTGGAGGGGAGATGGCACGACTGTGCGCCCGAATGAGGTGCTTTTTGCGCGTTCCACCCTAATCGGGAGGGACGTGCCGTTCAAAGTTTTCAAGCGTTGGGCACTGCGTGACCGAACGCCTATGGGGCCTTTGCTTAGGCCGTTGGGAGCAGCGGAGGTCCCTTACACGGGATACGTGCTGCTGACGATGGCCGAGTATCGGTCCGCCCTCAAAACGAGGTGCATTCGGAGGCCCGGCAAATTCGCCATCACAGTTTTCCCCATGCGACCTGAGCAGGTCTGCAGGGGGGAGATCATGATTGGGTTGGAGGGCGCAAAGGTGCCTCTCCTCAAGTTGCCAAGCCCCAATAATGAGGGCGAATTTTATGTTGACGATCGCGTCAAATACATGGACAAGCGCCATGTCGTTGTGGCCGTTGACCTAAAGTGGATGGCCATCGAGGAAGCCGCCGGCATCTATAAAACCCGACGCGGTTTGATTGCTGTGCGAGAGGAGATACATGCGCCCTTCTGGCGCGCATGCTATCTGCACCAGGAAGGGGATGTAATATACATCCGTCCCTGGGCGGTCCGAGAGTTGAATGTCCAGGGACCGCGGAGAGGGGTGTCATTTTCATGGGACAAAGCTCCCATGCATGACTATTGGTGCCCTCGGTGCGCGCATTTGAACATGTATGGCACCATTCTATGCAATGGTTGCCATTTGCCGATTTTCTATCGAGAGTGGGTGCCAGGCACCATCCGCTCCCAAGTTAGGAGAGGGCAGCCAGTTTGGCTGGACGGACTCAAGGCAGTCCGTGCCAACAGCTGGTATGAAGGGGAGACTGACGTGTGGGCTCCTCTCATGGCGTCGGTAAACCCGATCCGCGAGGTGGTCAGCTGTATGATCTCCGGTTTGCGCTGTGCGCCTCATCTTGTGCACAATCCCAATGCGGATACCGTGCAGGTTGCGTTTCAGGAGGTTGTGAAAGTCACCTCAAAGGACACCCACGCTTGTGTGCGTGCGAGTGACGAGGCTCTCGAGCGGTGGGTAGCGAAACAGCTGCTCATCGAGGAGAGCAATACTGGCGTCCCAATTCCCGACAATATGTCTGTCATGACATATTTGGTCGAGCACCCGCAACAGGCGGCGCAATGGGGTCGTCATATGACGAGAAAGGGCAGTCTAAATTCAGCATTTGCCCTTTACCTCTCTGTGCATATTTTTGATGCCTACCGCATCGGAATTGAGGACGGATATTTGGTTCCGCTGTATGGCCTAGGCGCCTCACGTGCGGACATTATAATGTCATTGGTACAGGCTGAGCGACGCCTCTCGGACTTCAATAGTGAGGACCCAAGTTTTGATGCCTCCACAGTTCTCGATTTGAGTATCGACTCTCTGCGGGCCGGTGGTGGATCCATCACGGCCCCGATTGAGTATGCTGAGGCATACATTTATGTCGAAAACAACAAGGTTGACATGGTCCCCGCTGCACAGCGCAACGGCCAAAGCGCCATTGTTTTTGCTGACCCGCCGACTGGGAAGCACCATAGGCGGGCAGCCACTCCTAGGGGAGATCATCGGTCTGCTACCCCGCGACCTGATTCCAGGGCAAAGGGGGATCAGCAAAAGGGCAATGCCCCTGCGCACTCCTGGCCCAAGGGTGGAGGTCACAAGGGTGACCAGTTCTCCGGCAAGGGTCACAAAGGTGACCAGTTTTCAGGAAAGGGTCACAAGGGTGATCAGTACAAAGGCAAGGGTGGCCAATACGGCTACCAACAAAGCCAGTTCGGTCGAGGCGGATCCGCCAGATCGAGAACTCGCACTGGCGGGTATCAGCCTGATGCTCGCGGGTCGGGGTACAAGGGTGCACAGGCTGCCCCTTTCCCCTTCCCGAGTCCGATGTATCCCACTTTCCCAATGGGAGGATACATGCAACAGCCCATGGCTGGCATGATGCCACAAATGTGGCCTGGCGCAATGCCGCAGGGTTGGCAGCCGCATATGCAGGGTGATCCCCGCGAGTTCGAGAATCCGAACTCGCCGCATACCCCTACCTGGGGTGACGATGACGAGTTGGCCGAGACAGTGCCTCCTCCCCCTGGGGACTGGAATGTCAACAAGGGGAGGGGACGGCACGGCGGCGGACGACATCGGTAATACCTGAAGTCTGTCTGTGTGTTTTGCATGGCTGCGTCAACGCGCGCATGCTTTCATTTCGGAATTCACAGGATGGACTATGCTCCTTGTCGTATTTCGTTGTCTGGGCTATTCGCCATTTCAGAATTCAACTGCATGCGTGGCTGTGCGCTATTCGCGCAAGCTGCGATTACCTGTCAGGTGTGCGTCGCCACAGCAAGGCAGTCACCCTCGGCGGCGTCTATGGCCGCTGGTGATCTGCATCCTCCTGCACCGCTGCTGCTGCTGGTGATGGAGCTTATCAAGGTGCTGAGGTGAGGATCACGGATGCCCCGCACCGCTGCCGGTGATGTCCTACTCGGACCTAGACCGCGGATCGCTGCTGGTGGTATCCATGGCGATTGTCCTCGAATGATCGCGCGCCTAGACGGTGCCAATTTATAACCAAGGCTCATTGGTCTACGCACCATGTTTCAACCGAATGGCCAATGCGCCTAGTCTAATAATTCAACAGTAAATCCACTTGAATCTGATGATTCAATGTGGTTGCAACGCAAATGACAATTCTTTGGCTTCATGCCGGCCATTCTGAAGTTGATCCTTTGTTCTTTTCTTTTGTTGCTTTCTCTTGTTTGATTTGGCTACCGGCGAGAATCCGCCCCATACCCGTAATTCGGGGTGGTGGCGGGATCCGGGCTCCAATGCGTGCCCGGGTGTGGGGTCGTGAACCCTGGTAGCCTAATCTCCTGCTTTTCCTTGTTTGTTGCTACTCAACTTCGACACGGCCAATGCGCCTTTCCAAATTCACTCCTTCTCTTTGTGCAGTCGAGGGGGGTGTTTTTGGGGGCATGCACTTTTATCATAGCAGTTTGTAGTACGCCATTACCCAACGCGGTATTTGGCTCAAGTATTTACCACGGCAAACTACGCCGCCATAGCGACAGTGGCTGCCTGCGGCGCCGTACCTCGTCTTGCTCTCGAAAAGGGGCAGGCCGTGGGCTGCGGCGGTAGGCACGTCTTCTGGTTGTGGGTCGGTGTTTGTGTTTGGTGGTGTTTGCATTGGTTTGCTTTGCTCGCTCGCTTCGCTTCGCTGCATTGTTTGCCTGCTTGGTTTGCTGCTTTGTGCTTGCTTTCGGTTGTCTCTGCCCTTGCTGGGTTCATTCATCATTTGGTTAAAGGCACCCTGTTTTGGTTCGTTTGTTGTGCCAGCCGGGGGCACCGCTTTGCCCTTGGGACTGGGGGACTTAAACAATCTCTTCTTGTTGGTGGGATTGGGCCTGTTTATTCTCTCCCGAAACTCTGTTTCAAACCCTTTCGCAAAAAGAAGAGGGCTGTTTGTTCTTTGTTTGCCACCGTCACTTCTTGAAGCATGCTGTGGCGCCTAGCGAATTTAGAACAACTCCAACAAAAAATGGCTGGACTGGGGTGAATACTCAGAACCTTTACCTTTTGGACATAGCGTTTTCTTAGAACACAAGCATATCATATGGCTCCTCAAGAAGCAGATCCGCTCGTAGAAGTCGGCCAGGGTAGTGTACAGTGAGCAGGGGCAAACTTTTCGAAATTTTTGGACAAAGTCACGCACCAGTTGGTAGGTTGTCAAACCCGGAATTGAGAGAGGTTCATCGTGTTTTGTGTTGGTTTTGCTGCTTGCCTGCCCGTTAGCTGCAAACACTTGTTTTTTGGGGGTGTGTCTTGTTGTTGGGGTGACCCCTCAAAAATGGATTCGGTGTTCTTTTCGGTTTTCCTTTGCCAAACAAGGCGTACCTTCCAAAAAGAAGACAGGCCCTTTGACCACGCACACCAAAATCAGGGTCCACCTGGAGGACAGGCTCACTGCCCGCAGCTTCCATTCTAGGGACTGCGCGGGCAGGAGCTGGGCCTCGCCACCTGCCGCGAGGGATCCACACGAGATTTGGTGGCCTGGGGCTTGAATCGGCTCGGTTGGGACCTGGGGCCCTTGGACGGGGATTCACCGAACAACTTCCGCAAGGCAATACGGGTGGCTTTCTCTTTTTCGAGGGTACTGTTTTTTTTGGTGGGTTTTAAACGAAAAAGGACTACCCAAGCCATTTTGGGGGCGAGGGTCTCCTTAAAAAGGAGACACCCGTCTGGGGATGGGTCAAAATTAAACCACCAGGAATTGGGCCACAGAAGCCGCATAGCCTCAGGCTGGAAGCCCAAGCGAACTTGTTTGTTCCGCCCCCCCAAAGCACATGGACAAGTAGAGTTTAGGAATTTAGGGTTGCGCAGCCCTCAAATTTTCAAACCAATAATTTCAATAGCATTACAGTGGACAACGAACAAGTGATCAGCTGCTCACGTGGCGGCAATATCGGTCCTGGGTGCCCAAGGGTCGTCCTGCCATGCGGACGCTAGGTCTACAAGTCCGGCACCGAGCTCCTCTATGGGCCTGTGTCCGGCTCCTCGATCACAGCTCCCGGATGGGGCCCGTTTCGTTTCGTCTTTTTCGGGGCACCTAGCCGGCCCAAGGGGGTGGAGACATAGCAGGCAACAGTTGCCATCCACCTGAAAGGCCAGAAGTTGCACTTGAACCTGGTAGGATACCACCCTTTCCCCCGGAAAAGTCTTTCAAACCGGGTTTGCTTTTCCGGGTCCATCTGCGGGCCTTGAGCACGCCCCCACCCCAGAGGCCGTCCCTGGCCATTTTATGGCCATCGCACCAGTGCCACTCCGGGTACATCGGGTCGGTGAAGGGAAAATGGGGCAAGGACCTTGTGGGAGTCGGTGATTTTCTGTCGCATGGTGGACCATTGGCCCGAGGCCCTACGGCTTCGATGAGCTCGGGCTGCACAGGGTGCTTGTGCCTGGGAGCCGAGTTTTTTTTTCTACTCGTTTTGGACGGTGGGTTTTAAAGTGCGGCCAAACCCAAACAACATGTTTTTTGTTTTTTGTTTTTTTGCGGGTAACCTTGTTGCTTTGTGGTGGTTTACAAGGGAACTCATCCATTTTGTTGGGGCTTCCCCCCATTTTGAGACAAACCCATATTTGGTTCGATCAACATGTCCAGTAGTCTATGGATAAGGGGGACTCACTCAATTTCAACCACAAAATCAGGGAACTCACTTGTTTTCCCATGTCCTGCCGAGAACCATGTGCCTGGCTTTGGGGTGGCACAAAAGGTTTCCTTTCGGGCCAAGTCTCCAACAGGCCAATTCGAGTCCTTCCAGGCACATATCCATTTAGAAGCGGCATGTGGGACGCTGACAGAGGCAGCCCATGGCTTTGTCACAGAGGCAGCCCATGGCTTTGTCACCAAACTGGCGGTTGATGGCCTCAAACATCGACACATGGCTGTGCCTTTCTGTTTTCCACGGGAACCCCCGTTTTGGTATATCGGAAGCCAAAAGGGAAACCGCCCATGTTGGATTTTGGGGGGGTCCAACCTTAAAAAACACAGCCACCATTTTCGAGTGCCACCGTCTCCGAGGGCCGCACTGCAGCGCTGGACGCCTCCACTGCATCAGGAGCCGAGCCGACGGCTTTTGAGGTTCTGATCTTTGGGGAGGGTCAAAGATATGCACCTGGTCTTCGCCGGGAAAAACAACGCCGGACATCTCGGCATGTCTTTGAAAGGGGAATCAGATACTTGGAGTGGCTCACAGAGAGCCCTGTGTTAGTGGGTTCGCATGCCGGTGAAATGGTGGGAGACGATCATCAACTTGATGGGTTATGTTCTTTGGCTTCAACACACACTTGAGGCCAATGTAGGATCCCACCCCCGCCCAAAACCCCCTCCGCCTCTTGGGGACACCCAAACGTATCATCCTCCCAACCGTTTTGGGAAAATCAATAAATAAAATAGACCAGAACTGAAGTTCCGGGTGTAGGAACACCTTGATAAACAAGCAGGGGACGCCACCGCTCGCGCAACTTTTTTTTTTTTCATTTGCAGGCGACCCACGTCCAGGCTTCGGCGATCCCTAAGCTACTGGAGGGTCCGGCAGCTCAGCTTCGAGCTGAGTCTTAGCAACTTTTGGTGTGGAACCCAGATCGATTCACGCGCACGCAAGGAACTTCCTGGGGATGATCCGCGGACTTTGTGTGTCTACGATTGACACGACTCCTGTTTGCCAGTTGAAGCTGTGTATTTGTTGGCGGGTGACGTGATCAAGGCTTGTACCAGGCGTGCCAAGTACTAACCGAGCACATGCACCTGTAAGGTCACTTCCAAAAGAGATCCATTGTCAGTGCGAGGGTTTCATTGACTTGCCAGGGCTTCAAATCTGAGAGGCCTTGTTTTCGATGTCCAAAGAAGGAAACCAGCGGTCATAACGCAGACGACTTTTACATCGTTTTGCTCAGGTCGGGACGTTTGCATTCAAGCGGAGACCGGCTCTGGCAAGACTTTGGACTCGGCCCCAGCTGGAAGCAGCGCCACCACCTTTGGAATCTGCGCACGCAGAAAGCTCATGTCAATTTTGACTGAAATGGCAAAATGGACCCTGGGTTGCCTGAGGTTCCCACTATAAATGATGAATCTTGTACCAGTTGAGCAGCGCCCAAAACCCACATTGGCCGTCGTAGTAGCTACTACCTGGTTTTCTGCGGGGTTATGGTAAGTCAAATATAGACCGGTATAACATCTCAGTAGAAGCACAAGTCAGCGAGGATTAAACTGCTGGCGCGAAGTGGGTTTGACCATCTCACCGCTTTCCCAAGGCCTATCTGCTCCCCGCGGCCCACGTGGCAGTGGAGCGCACCTATGGCGAAGATGCGCAGGAGGGGGCGATCCATTCGAACAGGCGGCAGACCAACAAAAAACCCACGCGGTCGCTCAAAAATGTGGAGATCTCCGCCACTGTTGGGTTAAAGTCCAAGAGGCGGACCGACGGGGGATGCCCAAGAGCGAGAGAGAGAGAGAGAGAGAGAGAGAGAGAGAGAGAGAGAGAGAGAAAGAGAGAAAAAAGAGAGATGGTAACCCGAGCCTCGCTGAAGTCGTGCCCGCGAGTCTCCTCCTTTTGTTTCTTCCCCGATCCGCTTGCACAGAAAACCTTTTGGATCAAAGACCTCGGTGATCGCTTTGGCTGGTGCGCATTCTTGCCAAGTCTTTGTCGGTGAGGATGAGGACTTGGACGAGGAGGTGCTAGCCGCGCAGGACGGTTTGGCATTTGGCCCGAACGGTGTGAGATTAATTTCTTCGATTGGAGCCTCTGAGTGGTGTCGACTTTGACAAGATTGATGGGTAAACTCTTTTTGGAAGGACTAATCATTTTCTGTTGGGATCCGAGAGTGCCGTTCTGACAATCGCCAGAGTTTCCATGCCAATGTGCGACTTCCCGACTTGTGATGGATTTGATGCCCCGATGGCGAGAGAAAGAGAAGCCCAGAATGACAATCGACACGAGCCGACACAACTTCTTGTCAACTGTTTGTTGAGGCTGAGAACAGCTTTGGCCAGATTTCAGCCCTTCCCCTTAGATCAGTTTTGGGCCGGTGCTTTCAACGGCTGCGTGTGCGCTACTCTTTGGGGATGACATGGGGCACAACCAGGTGTTCTCCTTCGGTGAGCAAATGGTTTGGTCAAAAGGCCTGATGCCTTGGGGTCCATCACGGGAAATTGCGGTGTCGTCCAAAGATGAGCAGTTAAACGTCAGGTTTCATTCTTCTGTGCTGTAGAGGATTGGTTCTCAATACCTTTCTCGTTCTTTTTTTTGGAGTTTGAAGTCTGTCAACCCCTTGCAAGACGCCAACATGACAAGTTCACAGGGGTCCCTCCCTCGACATTTCAGGCGGAAGCCTCGGAGCACACCAAGGCCCATGCCTGGAAGGAGGAGCGATGCAGAGAGTTTTATTTTCCCCACTCGACCCAACGCGTCAAAAACCGAAGGAATGTTTTGTTTTTTTTGGGAGAAAGTCAAGGGAGGTTATTTTGTCAGAATGGCTGGTGGTTTGCCATACCCGGCGGCCCATGAAAAAACAAACGAAGAGAGCTTCCGTGGGTCCCACATCCGGCGAACAATTGTCCAATTGGATGGGTTCAGGTGGATTTTCGAACAGCTGGGCTTAGTTGCCGTTCTTGTCCTGTGCCCACACGTTTCATGCGCCCGGAACACAGGTTACGTATTACGTATTTTTCAATCTCGTTGGTTCGTTTGGCGGTTCCAGTCTTTTTTGAAGCTTCTGGCAATCCGCGGGGTATCCGTGAGTGATCTTCAAAGACTCTCGAAAGCTTGTGGGGGAGAGGCTGCGTTGACCCCTGTTTTGTGTCGATGCGAGGAGCTGGATGATGAGCCAAGCACCAGCGTGTGCTGAGCTGAGGGGCAGAGCTGAGAGACCTCTCGCAGTTCCCAGTTGTCCGCTTCGGAGCTTGCCATGCGGTAAGCTCGCTTGTTAGATTTGGGGCAATTTTCAACGTGGCCCGTGCTTGGGTTGCGGGACTCGGAACCCTCTTGTTCTGAGAGCCTGTCTTGGTGGTCTCCAGGTTGTTTTGAATACTTTCCCAAGTTTGATGCTGGCCGGAGTCCCTGTTTCAACGCCAGCTGATTTTTTTATCTGGGGGTGGTGGCAGGGCAAGCATGGGGGGGCCCTGACCAGCTTTGGCTTGCACAAAAATCATCCTGGTTTCGGCTTCCGAAAGCAGGTGCTACAGGGTAGAGCGCACTGCTGGGGAGCTCGGAACACTTCGGAGTCAAAAGATCAGAAAGAGTCTCAGAGTGGACGCATGCTCAAATACCTGGGTTTCCTTTGGTTGCTTTTGGTTAACTTCCAGCCAACAAACAGGGCCACCTCCAGAAAGACACCGCCCTAAGAGTTTTTGTTTGTTGTGTGTGTGGTTCACAGAAGATCGATTGAAAAGACGAGCAGGGGCCAGGTTAGCGTCCTGGCTGAAAGCTCATGCCGTGAATTGCAATGATTAGACATGCTCTTCCATTTTGTTCTTGTGTGTGTGGGGATCTGTTCCAATGTGATCGAAATCTGGAAACGTTAGCTGATGCCACTTGGGTCACTTGGGTCACTTGCTTGCGGGTAAATCAATTGAAGTCTGTCTTGGGTCACTGGGGTCAGCCGGGCTTGTGGGAATGTCAATTGAAAGCTGCCACTTGGGTTGCTTGGGTTAGTTGGGTCGCTCGCAACTGATTTCCTTCAAAACAAAGTCTTCCACCCAAGCGACCCAAACGACCAAGTGGCCCAAGTGACCCAAGTGACCCAGGTGACCCAAGCGACCTGAGCAACCCAAGCGAGAGAGAACATATCTGGCAGTGGCAGCAAGTTATGAAGTCTGTATCCCGAAAAGAAAATGGGGATACAGACGCAGCAGCCACTGAGATGCAGACTCCGCACTCCCGTATCACCTGTGGAGTGGGGAGGGCTGGCCAGTGAAAACTGTCACTAGTCACTTGGGTCACTGGGTCGCTTGAGTCACAACCGGGGCTCCGAATCTCTCTTCCGCTACCCGAAGACTACCGGAAGACTGCAGGAAGATTTTCCGAAGGCTATGGACAGGCTACGGGAAGATTACGGGAAAACTGAATACTACATGAAAACCGCCGGAAGACTACGGGAAGACTACGGGAAGACAACCGGAAGACTAGCCGAGAATAGCAGAGGACAAACGCGACCAGTGCAAAGTTGCATGTTGCGGCCTTACCGGAGACTACAGGAAGCACTGGGAAGACAGACTTTCCCATTTCACCGCCGACCCGTTATTGCGGCAGAGGAAGTCACGAAAGCACTAGCTGGATTTCTTCTACCTGGGCTTTGCTTAGCAATCAGGGGGTGTGGGGGGCGGGCCCAAATGCCTCGGGCCAATTTTTTTGGGCTACGAAACGGCCCGGGCCTGCGTCACGCAACGGCTTCTGCGCGACGCCGGGGCCATTGCCGCACCAATGCCGTAGCAAACAACCTCGCGATCTCTTGCGCTTCCGTCACTTGCTGCCCCTTGCGCATTGCATTCACTTCCCTCTCGCACAATGCTTTCGTTCCCGCCTCGCTCAAGTCTGCATCTCTAAAACCTCGTCTGAGACACAGACCTTCCGGCAGTCACAGGTGATGAAGTCTCTTTCTAGAAAGGACATGCCCCTGCAGAGCCTTTATTGCGACTGAATGTAGACCAAGAGAAGTGGCCCAAGTGAGCCAAGTGACCCAGGTGTCAGACTTGGCGGATCTAGCCACCCGAAAGCAAGTGACCCAAGTGACCCAAGTAACCCAAGTGGCAAACATCAGTTAACGCTACTCGAAGCCGCCCGTTATCATGTTCACTTCCGGGGTTGGTGGACAAATTGATCCATGGAAATTATGTCCGTCAAAGAGTCCGCAGCCCCATTGCACTTTGGCACTTTGTTGTTTCTTCTGGGGAGGCTCATGCCAAGACACACCCATAATATGTTTATTGCAAGGCAAAGCACCACATGACTTTGAGGGACTGACGTGGGTGCTGGCACTTTCAGGCCGGGCGTTCTTCCATGTGATCTGACTTTGTCTGGGCTTGTCAGGATCATTGCGCGCGCCACGAGCAAAGCCGCATGAAAACCGAAGTAGAAGGTTAGTACGGGACAGTCCTGAAGGTGCTGGTAATTCCTTTTCACGTGGTTTTGGGAAGATCTGGGCCCCCTAAAGCATTTTGTGTGATTCTCAAATGTTGCTTTGGAGGGTGGTTTGCCTTGAAACCACCATGTTGCTCGGGTATGCTTGAGGATGTCACTTTCATTGACCCAGTAGACTCCTTCATCAACCCTAACGCTCCAGCAAAAAAAATGGATGCGCTTCTCGTGGATTTCACCAGTTCTTTTTTCTGTCCCCTTTCTTGCCAGACTTTCAGTACTCTTGTCATTTCAGGGGGTCCACAAAAGTCACGTCCAAGCCGCAGAAACGCCTGGAGGTAGACCCCCGGGAGACGAGACTCGCCTCCCGGCCGGAGAAATACGCCACGCCCACGGGGAAGTCGGGCAGCCTGTTCGCGAACCGGCCGTTTTGCCCGGACTCAATCCCATGGTGTTGTTGGTTTCCCCCCAAACAAACTACTGAACAACTAGGGGTTCAAGCCTTCCTTGCCCCCGAAAAACACTGAACCCTGGCTTGCCAGTTGACTGGCCACCTTTTTTGTCAGCCTGCGGCGCACTGCGGCAAAAAAACAATGGGGTGATTGGTCGCTGGTTGGCGCAGAGACCAAGGACGCAATTCAATCCAGATCGCTGATGACTTCCATCTTTCGAACCAAGACAAGGAAAGCAATTCGATTGTCCCATGACAACTTGTACCTGAAGGGAGAAACCCATGAGCAACTGACACAGCATATGGCAGTCTGGGGTTAGTTGGGGCTGAGGGATGAGAAGGAGGGGCTGCCAACAATTCCAGCAACAAAACCAGTCCGCTCGATTGTCCCATCCTCTTGGGGCTTCTTTTTTTTGCCCGGTCACTGAGAAGATTGGTCGCAACCCTTGCCAAGACCCTGGACCACTTCGAAAAAAACCTGAGGAATCCCAATAAACTGACGGGATTGGAACACTTGGTAACATAGAGAAGGTTCTCTGCAACCCCATGAAGCTGAGCGCAAGCAGCAAGGCAGT